CCGTCCGAACAACGTCGTTGTTTCACAAATATTTACAAATTTGACATTGCGAAAAGCGCACGCGTGTATTCGTTTCGATATCCTTGTTTCGATCACATTGAGGGAATCTGCAACATCCAAGTGCCGCGAATCGCGCACTGTTGGAGTCCGGTCATGGCTGTGACACAAATGCTAGTTAATGGTAAGTTTAATGTTTGTGTTCCGCTGAGAAAGCAGGTACCTGATGCTTACAGCGCAAGTAATGACGATGGCGTAATATGTTTTGAAACCATCGCTAGGGTAAACATTCCGTCCTGTGCAGCCGCGACGGTGCGCTGCTCGTTAGTGGCCTCTTACTGCGGCAAATTCACCAGGCAGGCTCCACATAAATGATCTTGGAGGGCCGTTCAATTCATATCTGAATTTTTTTTGCGCAGTTTTCTGTAGCATGCACAGGATTACGCAAAGCGTCGTTAATACAAGGACAATCAGCTGACACCACCACCATGCGCACTGTGGCAAGAAACAATGTAGCGAACATTTAGCCCTTCTTTTAGTTTGGGAGAGTAATTTGGTCCCATATACATTCACTTGACGACCAAGAATTCATCCGGTGAAAGCGGTACGGGGAGTACGTCCGTATGTTCGATCTTTTCCGATGCGAGTTCATGGGTTGATCGTCCCTTCGCAGCTATCTTAGATTGCACGGCGCGCCACCTATAGTCCGTAGACATTGCGAATATTCTTGAAAGCGATCGGTGTTCTTGACCTGCACCTCGTCGGTGTCGCTAGTGTTCCTCTGCCGACACTTGCGTCTCGCTTCCCTGGCTCGCGCCTGGTCGGTGTTGACCTTGCCAATCGAGAGCGCGATCGACTTTGCTAGCCCTTGCAACACCGGCGACAGCCGGGAAAGTTTCGCGCTCACTAGCGGGAAGCATGCCGCGACGGCGTCCCGCCCGTCGGCGCCATGGCACGGCAAGCAGCGGCACGCTGTCTACATTGTCGGGGCTGCGAGATTCTTGAGTAGGGTTGCTCGATGCCCGCACTCTCCCCCGCCGCCTTGAAGGAGGGAAATAACCGCTTCGTTTGCTACGGAATCCACTATTACGATGCCTTCCCCGCAAGCTGGCTATAGCCACGATGGCCAGCCAAGGAGTGTTGCGCGGCTACATACAGAGTTTGTTGCGTCAAAACGTGTGGTACTCAAAGAATACGAGAGAAATACAAAGTTTTGGAGTCGTGAGTGTAAAGGTCTTAAATTTCTAGTCTCTAGGCTGCATTTTTAAGGCGACATTACCAGCTAGAGTTAGTCGCAGCAGAAAAATACCGTCGATGCCAGCTGCGTTACCACCTTCAATTAGCATCTTTCTAAACTAGTCGGTAACTATTTATATAGGTTAAAGTTGTGAAGCACACGAACCTAAGTCACATGACCTTTCAATGTATTTGTGTGTTGTGTGCTTCCACAAAATTGTAAAAACAGTTTGCCGCTCGTTCGCTGGCTAGAAAAAAAATAAAAAATAGGTGCTTTCGTGAGAAAAGAGAAATATCAAAGCATATCCACTAAGTGAATGAAGATGTGTGGGGTGAAGCTTCCGTCTGTGCTTACGTCCATGCGTTCATTTGTTCATGCTTCCGTCTGTCTGTACGTTCATCCGTGGGTCCGTCCATGCGTCCGTCCGTCCAGCATATCCACAGAGCACATCATAGCATGGATGGACGACCGCTTCGACCCACCCACTCTACCTCATTCATGATAATGAGTGGGGCGAAGCGTACGTCCGTCCGCGCTTCCGTGTATCCGTTCTTTCTTGCTTCCGTTCATTCGTCCATGCATCTGTCTTTCTTTCCGTCTGTCTGTCTGTCACTCTCACTAGCGCCACATGCTGAGTGATTCATACAACTAGCTGGTTACGAACCGGTCACAGACATGCATGGACCAACCCATCGCTTTAGAAGCTTCGCCCATAAAACTGTGATTGCGTACCATATTTTCATATATTGTTTTTGAATTATTCAATAGCTACCCCAATTACAGACTTTACCGTGAAACGCACAGTATATTGTGTACTGTTTTCAGCTCTCTTATCATACCGCAAAGAGCACATGGGCAAGATATTGTTGAATCATACCATACTATTTGGTGATCTATATGTGTCTTTTATGGCATTAAATCATAGCTCACACGCAGACATTGACTGTCAAAGCAGATATAGCAAGTTTTCTGCAGAAATATATTGTAAATTAGCAATCTTTAATAAGCGGTAATTCATATCGTTAAAATGAAGCACCACACTGCTTTACGCCAGTGAGCAAGTAAGTTGCACTTATTATATGGCGATTTCGGATGCCACAGCTCTATATGAACAATAACTTTAATATACTCCAACAAAAATGCTATAACTTACTGCAAGTTAATCGCAACGCATGTCTTGCTTCAACCTCCACTGGTTCTCGTTGTTTCGAACTGGCGTAGGAGAATGTACAGTCTTACTCGTGCAAAACATAAAATGAGCATTTTTTTTAAAAAACCCTTGAGTTGCTGGCATGCCTCTACGCTGCACTTCGCCATTTTAAAATATTCAGTTGCAGCTTTGAGAGGAGATTTCAGGGTAAACAGGTTGCCTGGGCGGGACATGATTCTTTTAAAGTTCTCTTCACAAAATATGAGCGAGCTCATACTCTCCGCTCGGATAACACAAGTTCACACAATCCTGAACATACTCCTTCAGTGCAGTTAAGTATGCGTGTTCATGGCTCAAGGAGTCGTTTATTGCAATCCTGCTAAGCCCACAGTTTGTTTTATTCAATAATCCTTTCACAAAAAATCCACTTACATGGCACAAAATGCTGCACTTTATTGAAATAAATGCTTTAATGACAAGACTTTCCTCATCATTAATTTTCTCTTCTGCATTTCCACAACACCCTATTTCCCCTTGGGAAATCAGGTCAACCAGGTACTGTTAGTAAGCGTTTCCATAACTAGAGTTCAGCGGCATGTCCAAAAACTGGCTGACGCATACAAACTTCAAAGCGCATTTCATGTCGTAGCCGTTAAGAACGGATAGACGGACGCACGCAGGGACAGACGAGTGGACGGACGCACAGACGGACACACGAACGAACGAATGGACGCATAGATGGACAGATGGACGAACGCACAGGTGGACGCACGGAAGCACGGACGAAGTGACGGGCGTTTCGCCCCACTCATCATCATTCACTACGCGGATATGCTGTGCCACCGTTTTATTGACATGTAGTGCAATGCAACTGGATACTAAAACTACGACGACTACGCCGACATGGGCCATGCGACATGCGGTGTAAGGGACTTTGCCCCTAAAAAAATAGTTGAAGACGCCAGCAGCAACAAGGACGCAACGTAAGCGCACATCTTCGCGCAATCGCAGTTTGTGCACAAAAAGCGATTAACAACGACGCGTTTTGCGCTATCCAAAATGAATGAGTTAAATATGCATTCACGCAGCATGCAAATGAACGTGTATTGCACCCGATGCACTGGTGATCGCAATTAAGCCCGATTGGAAGCAATATTATCAACAGTGTTTGGCGCCCTTCTGCAGCTGGCGTAAGAGAGTCAATCACATCAAGCTTGATCACAATTGAAAATGCCCGTGTGATGGCGCTTTCAGTTATAGGTCTCAAATTGCTTAAATGGTATAACTTACGCTGCACAAACAAGAATGGTCCGTGGGTGGCGACTTCTCGCGCTTGATCTTTAGAAGCCACAAGAGTCGCCTTTTCGAATTTTTTGGCAATCCGAACATCCTGCAGCCATTTAGCGAGTGGTTTGTGCACCGTGGCATGCAGCACCCGGTCATTTTGCCCGAAAAAACACCGCGCACTTGTCTTGCTCAACCAGCCCCGACGAGACGAGGCTAGCCAAATTACGGCCGCCGATCGGTAGGCGGCACTTACCCCTTCAAAGAGTGGCTCCATCTTCCTAGGGGGCACGCACATTGAGAAACCCTATTCTCGAGGCGCACGCAGTGCGTGCACCCGCCCACTCGCGGCTTCTTACCGACAGATGGAGAGAGGTGGCGCGGGTAAGGTGATGCAAACGTGAGAAGTGGGCTCGAGTGTTGCGAGTGGTGAAGAGGGCGAAGCGAGTGAGAGCTGACACGCGGCGAGCCCGCGGCAGGCGAGGGAGAGAGACGTCACTGTGCGCTGCTAATAAGGCGTGAGTTACTTGGCACCGCACCAACCCCTGCAGCAAGGAGAGCAGTACGGACGGAGGGACATCATTGCACAGGCAAATCAAAGAGCTGCTTCGAATCTAATAAGCCGCCTTTAGTGCGGCCCAGAACGTGCGATTTGTGAAATCTGATTCGCGCTACGAACCATGGCAACGCAGCAGAAGAGTGCTGCGTAGCCAGGGGTCGCAGTTTTTTTTTGCTACTTCATTATGTATATTTTACTTCATAATTGCGTCTAAAATACTTAACAACAGCCGTGGTTAACCGCGGCATAAAACACGTCTGTGTCAAAAGTTTTTTTTTCAATGGCAAGATATATCGCACAGTTGCGATCTCAGTAGAGGGCAAACCCTTATCAAGGAACTTATGCGGTCATTAGCAGGAAGTTTGTTCATGAGGGTTAGTCAGGGAAACGTTTTTAAGATCATTTATTACCATAAAACAATTTTGTGCCCCACGTTTTCTGTAGCTGCATCGAATACAACACAGTTGTCAAGACCGTAGAAGATATGACCACATCGGACAACCTACTGCCTTGAAGATTAGTCTTGAAATTGAATGTTGCTCTTTGTTTTTGGTTTTTCTTTGCCAGACCTACCTTTATAAAGAAAGCGGCTTACGAGGCCATCAATAGAACGTCACGTTGTTGCCCAGTGTACGTAGAATAGGGTTATATTATTGCTTTATTGTACCATTACAATATGTGCAGGGAAATATTTATGCTGACGAGCAGTAAAAGAAAGAGAAGACAACTGCCTTTAACAAATCCACAAAATTAAAGAGGCACGAACAAACGGATAGCGTTCAATACGCTGCTTTATTCAAGACCTCACATGTCACAATTTCACCAACTGAGAAACCGCTGTGTAGAAAGCGAAATCAAGGTACCCTCTTATTTGTTTTATGACACCGCCAGTCACTTGGCATTCAGCCAAACGTAGCCCCAGCTAACGAATCGAGCTGACGCTCATTGCCTCTGCCGAAAGTGGCACCTGCTAACGAGTCTAGTTGACGGTCATCGCTCCTACCAAAGGTGGCTCCTGCTAACGAGTCGAGCTGACGGTCATCGTTTCTACCAAAGGTGGCACCTGCTAACGAGTCTAGTTGACGGTCATCGCTCCTACCAAAGGTAGCTCCTGCTAACGAGTCGAGCTGCCACTCATCACTCCTACCGAATGTGGCCCCCGCTAACGAGTCGAGCTGACGTTCATCACTTCTTCCAAAGGTGGCCCCTGCTAACGAGTCTAGTTGACGGTCATCGCTCCTACCGAAGGTCGCTCCTGCTAACGAGTCTAGTTGACGGGCATCGCCCCTACCGAAGGTGGCTCCTGCTAATGAGTCGAGCTGACGGTCATTGCTCCTACCGAAAGTCGCTCCAGCCAACGAGTCTAGTTGGCGACCCGCACTCCTACCGAAGGTGGCTCCTGCTAGCGAGTCTAGTTGTCGGGCTTCTGTCCTGCTGAAGGTGGCTCCAGCTAGCGAGTCTAGTTGACGGCCTTCGATCCTACCGAAAGTACGTTCAGCTAAGGAGTCCTGCTGACGAACATCAATCCTCTCTTCTGCATTGAAAGCAACTGTACGAACGGAACCTGCTTCTCCTGTAGGCTTTTCAGCATTTGTAAGAACCATGGTGCCTGCAATGTTAAGCATGTAGCCATAAGTAAATTTCTGTGGAGTACTTTGATTTTCCACGACTTGTACAATGGGAAATATCAAATTCACTACAATTGTAAACAAAATGTCTTTTTCAGTTAGAATTTTTGAAATAATGAGATAAGCTTACACAGTTCCGCTTTATTACGAGAAAAATTATTTGTTGTAGTGATAATCGAGATCATTGGTCTTTAATATTGCTGTATGCCTCTTCTGACATTCTACAGTGAATAACATGCAGTAAAGCATTGATTAGAAATGTTGCCATTATTTGCGCAGTTTATTGAGTCTATCTTTCACAACTTCTAGAGTATGAAAGCTGGACATCATTTCTACTTCACACTCAGTGTAAAATTTTTAGAGATGTTGAAAGCAAACGCGGGCAAGCGATCTTCTGGCGTCTTCTGATCTCTTTCTTAAACATTTTGTGCTAACGTTTTTAAATGCGGTCACAATTTAAATACCTATATATCGCAACGATAATTTTTATGAGCCATGCTGACGAATGACCTAAAATATGTTCCACTTGTGCACGTCTTCATGCAGCCATTGATCACAGATGCGAAGCTTATTACGGTAGACCTCCATCCGGTGTGCCGCGTACGCGCAAGGGACCCCCATCTTCTCCTCTCTATCCTGTAGGAATTGCTCTCAGCAGCACTAACACCCTCATTGCGCATGCGCGTTCCCTCCCCATCGCTTTCCTCTACTATGCTCAACCTTTCTCACCTTCGAACGCCGACGCTCGCTCCTCCCTCTTTCTTCTGTAGTAGTCTCTCCTGCGGTGTACACCCTCCTTGGACTTGCAATGTCACCTCCCCCTGTCTCCTCTCCTACGTTCCTCGCGCTCTCGCCTTGCAACGCCGACGATTGCGTCCCCCTCTTTTCATCTCTAGGCATCCCTTCCCGTGGCGCTTTCACCCTAGCGCAGCCAAAGCCGCGAAGCAGAAACCGAATCCGCTTTCACGTGGCGGGAAAATCGGTCTCGGACTGATTTTTTGCGCACCGGCTGCGTGGCGTGGTTTTCTAGCCACTTGGGTGGCGAAGAGAGCCAGTTTCCGGAGAGTATTGCTGCTCTCGCTTTCTTCGAGGCCGAGTTTTCGCTCTCTTTGAGACACTTGACCTCGAAGACAGCGAGAGCGCGTAAGTCTCCGGAAACTGGCTCCTTTCGCTGCCCAAGTGGCCGGAAAACCACGCCACGCGGCCGGCGCACAAGAATCGGTCCGAGCCCAATTTTCCCGCCATGCAAAAAAAAGATCCGGCTTTCGCTTCACGGATTCGGCTGCGCTAGACTAAACCACGTAATCTAACCAGACGTCCGCAAATTCATTATGGCGGCAAAGGCATCGGCGGTGGTTCGCATTGGCTGAAACCGCGAACTACCCTTGCAGCTCAACGAAACTTCGTGGCCTCAACGAGGATGCGTTCATCGAGAGCCTGGTTTGGATTGAGGTCACAGAAAACTCTGGTGTAGCAGCAGCCAGTCGGCATTCGCCAACGTGGCTGCTTTTGTGTACAGCCAGTTTAATCCGATTTCGCCAATGCAGGTATGTTCGCTCGTGTCGTTTCAGTTGGCGTATCTTCCAAAACAACGTTTGAAGAGGTGCGAGCTGTTTCTTTTCGGTACTTTTTGTGAATAACTAAAATTCAGTACGAAGTTTAGTTCTCAGAAAGCAGGCAAATTTAAATTAATGGTAAAGGTAGGGACGGCAGCGACGGCGGGATGGGGCAGAACAAATGTGAACACCTTCGACGCGCGCAGTCGTACTTTCCAGCCGCTCTGGCGTTTTCTATTTGCTTCAATTCTTCAGTGTGAACGCGCCCTTAGTGCGCATACTCTCGTCTTGTGCCGGCCCAGGAGGACACCCGCAAAACTGTCCCTCCCCTCCCCCTCGTTCACCTCGGAAGATTGACGCAGGCAGCGTATGCAAGTTGAAAACAAATGACTGCTCATGCTGCACAAACGTTTACTGGCCACGGTGTAAGATAGAAGCCCTTTTTTTTGTATCTTACACCGTGATGTAGGCACTTGGTAGCGCGTTAGGAATTCGGTCAAGGGCATCTTTACTTGGCTTTTGCTTCACGTTGAAGGCAACGCTGCTTCATTCATTAAATTATTAATAAGAATAATAAAGTCGAGATAATAATTAGGCATTCCCAAACCTTACCTAATTACGCAACATTCACGCGATACACCCACCACTCTGCGACGCACTTACTCTAGTTCCCCGCGGGAAGAGGCTTGGCGGCATTATTTGGTTATTGTTTTTACAGACATTTTGCAATAATATTACTGAATTGAAAATATTATTAACAAAATACGCTACATGCTGAGTATGTCTTATGCTACTAACACTGTATCTACAACATTCGTTCTGCGTAATTGCAAACTGGAAAATGTTTACGAAAGTTTTGATTGAACGCCCAGCAGAGTTTAATATCCAAAAAAGAAACACCGTGGCGTTAAGTAGTATTTGTTTGAACTCACCGTAGGTTAGCACACCTAACGCCAGAACACACGCAGTCATATATCCCGCCATTGTACCATGAATTCAAAACTTTTCCGTCTTGTTTTACTGCAATGGAACTTCTTTCTGCGGAAAGTGATGCTATATTTAAGATATGAAAAACAATATTCTCAGTGATTCACGTTAATGTGGCAATGATTTCTAGAAAAGGGTGCATTACATATTTTTCAGCTCAATAAGCGGTGCATCACAATTAAAAAAAAAGCCAGGGCTGCCCTGAAGGCCCAGCAGACTTACTGCGAAAGCTAGAAGCGCGGCCTTTCGGAGCCTTTCAAAACACTCATTGTGCAACCACTGCAAACACATTTGCTTCATACCCACTAGGGTATTAATAATAAAATTTCTGAGTAGTAAGCCAGCATTCGCTATGCTATTTTTTGTCATTCTTCTGAAAAGCATGGTATCCGCTAAACAGTTGTGATAAATGTTTTGCCAATGGTTCATACAGACGCTGACTACCACGTGTAAATACCAAGCCTTGGCTTACAACGTTCCCAAAACACTTAATACGCACGAAAATACTATCACCTGCAACAAGAAACAATTACAGTCTCATTTCTGCTCTCTGGCGTCCTAGGAACATGCGCAAAAATCTTTTCTCATAGCCTCGTATTTTTCATTGTTTAGTCTTGTGTTAAATACATTGTATCATGCTACATCTTGTTATCTTGCGTGTGTATGTACTTTGTGTTTCACGAAACGTATATATGTGAGCCTTAAAGTGCATAAGTGTCAATGTATGCAATAGTCTATGCACGATGTACCTTGTTTATTGAAAACTCCCTTTTATTGCACATTTATAACATGCATTTTAAGATAATCAATTGTGAAAATATTTTTAGTAAGTATGTATTGTTCATGTTTTATATTAGTACTGCCAAGTTATGTACCTTTAATCATTTCCACACTACTGCAATGTGTATGCACAGGTCACCAGGGCCTTTGTCAAGCCGTTCTCACGGCTTTTAGCCTTGGCGATCTTCCAGTTTTTGTCTGCTAAATAAATAAAATTTGAATAGTTTGAATAAAAAATAAATATGTCTTAAGTGGGTATGCACCACAGTTTTGGGGAACAAGAACAAGCTTTTGTAATGGGTTGGAGCCTTGGACGACCCACTTCTTACGCTATTCGCATTGTGCGACGATTGATTGCTCTTTCACTGTTCTAAACGCTTCAAAAGTCATATTAACGCGATTGCTTTCCCGACATCAAGCCTGCCTAAGGCAAGTTTGCCAACAAGTCCCAAGCATTGATGTGGCTCATTGAACAGGCGACAAAGCAAAAAAAGCCCATGTGGCTCAGTGGTAAAATACTGGACTGGGACCCAGCGGATCCAGAGGCGAGCCCCACTGTGTTACTGGTGCAAAGTTTTTTCTTTAGTTTCGCGCGATGTGGTTACGGACACCACGATGGCGACAGTGGCAGCGGCGGTGGACAACTGGACGTGACGCGAGTTGTGATCACATGAAAGTTTTCGCTAAAAAGTGTACTACAATTTGACCCTAACGCAGATACTTTTAAGCGGGTACCAGAAAAATCAACCTGTTAGAGGTTACAAAACGGGTATCGCATACATACTCCCTTTTGTACTGCGCAACTATTTAGCCACTAGTTTCTTGTCCAACACTTACCGAAAAATTAGAATTAGGATGAATGGGCGACACCACCAAAAATAGCTAAATCCTTATACACACCACTGGTATACGAAAAATAAAAAAACAACAGTTAGTTCAAGAAACGTCTAGCAAGCGATGATGGCGAAGAGAAAACCCCAAGTACGTAAAAGGAAACTATATTAAGGAGCGGGAAAGGCAACGGTGGCTGCAAGGAGACCCCGAAGCGATGGAACGCCGACGCCAAGGACGTTGTGCTCATGTTATGTATTTGACTGTCTGTAATTCAAGTCAAATATATCTCGCTAATAATCGATCTAGAAACAAAACTGCATCGTCTGTCTAAAGCCTTGCAGCCACTAAGTAGAACCTATAAACCACCGCCACCAGTTAGGTAACACCAGAATCCAGCAAGAAACAAGCATGTTCGTCCTCAGTACCGCTCATTATTGCTGTTTCTGGCTTGCGCGGCTTAGTGTAAGCTTGGCCAATCTTTTTTTTTTCGCGCGGACCATCACCAGTTTATTTTTTGCAAAGTGACTTAAAATATAAATTTATACATTGAAACTTACCGCGAGAAACAGCTACAGCTCGTTCTAAGGAACACAACAGTCGATCTTCTCAATTACCTCAATTCCTGTCTCCTTATTATTACTATAATCATGTTGCTATAGCCTACAGCCGGCTTCAGACAAAGCTTCAGCATTATTACTTGATACCTCAAAATGAGACCTCATTTAGTAGTACCTGTACTTCAAGGTAGTATCATGCACGGCCGCAATACTTTTCAGTAATATACATTTCCTTTTATAAAACTGGCACATCAATTTGATGTTTTGCTAAAGCTTTGCAGTAGTGAGTAATGGCACCGATTTATATACTACTCGACCCACTTTTCAGTTTAGTTTCTGGCAGGTGTAAAAATTTTGTCACCGCAAACTACAACATTCATGGCAACATTCGAGATTTTTTCAAGAGTTAAAACTGCTCTCTAGCTAAGTAGAATAAGCTTGTGACACATTAAATAAACGCAAATAAATAAGAATGCAGGGTCAGCATACGTAATATTCTATGTCTTCGCTCAGTCGTGTGTAGATATTCTATTTTTCACTCAGAAATGTACTTATATATCCTTTCGTTAGTTACCTCGAATAACAAATAGCACTGCGAGCTATAGGCATGATTTGGTGTGAATCTGGATATCATTACTTGATCATCCTGAATCGCAGAGTATGGAGCTAGTTTCAGTTTGCAGAGCTCGAGAGGGGCATAATTGTTTGAACGGCATCTCTTATATTTTTATTATGCCGAGGTACCTTCCAGCCATCATATCTTTAGTTTTGCATTTATTTTACTCCATTTTATGAGGTGCGCCAAAAAAAACGAGGCCTGAACAAAAGGTAAATGCTGTTGACTTCACGGGGATTCGGGCCCTCATAGAAAGCATACAGCATGAAATTGGACGAAGTACACATAAAAGCGTAATTTGTTCTCACCATTAGCGCTAGGTTGCATATTTTGTGTTCTTTGTTGTAATAAAAATAAACATACTCGATACACACAATAAATCAAAAATCATACGCTAAAACTTTGAACTAAGGGAAATAAGGAGAATACTTTAATTATATATTGTAAACGAAGGATAGAGAAATAAGAATAGTATACAAACTCATATATATTAAGAAAGAAGAAACATTGCACAAATTTTTGCTGATGTAACATACTCCAGAGACAAAAAAAATGTCTGAATATTTTTTCACTGCTACATGCATTCGTCTACAACAATTTCAAGTTCTGACAAGTAGTTCAGATGTTCTGCAACTTTGCAACAGGGCATCTGGTTGCTCATAATTAAACGTGTATATTGAATGATCCGGTTTCCTATACTTTAGAATGAGTATAGGTAAGTTTTTTATAGATAAACACTAATGTACGAATTGTTCCACCAAAACGTATACAACACTGTTTTTATCTAAGGGCTTAATTGTATGTGGTAAGGCTGTGAGCAGCAATCAAGAAGAAAAAAAAAACGTGTATTCAGTGGTTTGGTACGGGCTTTTAATTGTACTCCAGCTACGTCACGAATAGCTTTCTTTTGAAATATGTGTAATCTATTTACGTTTGTTTATCCGTTGATGTGTTTGTGGTTGACGTGTTTTCTTTAACGCCTTCCGCAAGGTCTTGAAAACCCATCGTATGCAAGTACTATGCTGCTGAGCGTAACAATGACGTACGAATAGGCGATAGCTTTGCTTTGTCCTACGCATAGTTTCGCAACTCTGATGAATCTAAATGCACTGCTACAAAATATGAATAATTTGAAAGAAGGGGGCATGTGCGGTGGCCGACGTTCGAGAAGGTGCGCGTCGCTTTCAGTACTTACCTACTGTTTAGATTTTTGGTCGGGAGCTTCCACAGAATTTTCTAAAATTGACTAGAGGGGACTCTGGCGCTGTGATTTTTCGGGGACCATGGGAATCATGGGTAGTACACGGATTTGTCTAGCCTTCGTACTTGCGAGTGTGGAATCTGGTTGTGGCTTCGTTTATTTCTGTGTTTCAGTTTTGTTTAGAAGGAAAGAACAAACCTTTTTTGAAGTTTGTGACCCGGTTTTAAAGGTAAGCCTAAAATATCAAGGTGGTGAAGCGCAGCCGCAGAACGTTTGCTGATTTTTGTTTCGTGAGAAAAAAGCTCCAAGCCACTTGAACAAACACGGCGGCAGAAGTACAAAGATTAGACAAATTTATGTACTACCTATCATTCCCATGTTCACTTAAGCGCCGTGCGTTGAAGCTCCCATAGACACAAGTGCCTAGTTTACCTCAAATAAATATTGTAGGAAACTCTATAGGAGCTTCTATCTTCTCTTTTTCCTAAATTTGTTGATTGTTACCAAGTGCTTTATACACAACAAACAGACAGGCTAAAAAACACCCTTTTCCTCAGCAGGTGCAAGTGGCCACAAAGAAACATTGTCACCTAAAAAAGAAAGTAATTGTGCAGGCCAATAAACAGAAATATCTTGGCGAACCACGGATCCTGATACTACCACATAACGCAAAATATGCGGGGGACTGTTAGAGGTTGGATTTGGTTCTTCGCCAATGAAACTGCGGGCCATGTGCGCAGTGACGAGGACTCTAGCAGGCTGGTGCGGTATAAATAATATTATTTTACATGTGAAGTGCATTACTAGCTTGCTACTGCACAAGAAAATAATCCAGCGTTCCATGCATGCACTAATTCCTCCACGTGAATGAAATGCCACATACGTGGCTTTGACTGCCATCCCGGTTGACCAGCTGACCGAGCGCTTTACGCATGATCCTCTTCATTGTTAATTTGTGCAATTTACCCAGGGACCTGAACTATTTATTTTTACATATATTATGCCGTAGGGTATGCTAGCACCGATAAAAGATAAAGAAAAGCCTCGGAGCAGGCTCACGGGAAGAAAAAGCATTTGTCAGTCTGTGAACTAGGCAGTGAATGTGATTGTAGACCCTTTCTAGTCTATTGAAACGGGCTTAGTAAAACACCAGCAGAAAATGGTAACCGAAATATTCGAAGTGTTTAATATAGGAAAAAAATGAAGGAGCGTTTCGGCCTGCCTTTTAACGCATCAAGAACTGCCGAGCATATTATTTTGCATCCACGTCACGACGTATTATACATGAATCAAGAAGGTGCATTATTTCAAGGCCTGCTCAGTAACATACAACACATGATTGTTGTTTTTTGTTATTCTGTCTTTCAAACAAATTCTGCAAGTGTCGTTGAGCCAGACGCATCTACTTAAATAGTTTTCTATTGAAAATACCGTGAAGTGTACACAATTTCAATTGTGTGTGAGGAAATTCCTAAATTATGATTTTAACGATGCGAGAGAAGTGTTAAAAAACGGACACAGAAAGTCTTGCTGGAAAGACTTTTGTGGCAAAAACTTACCAGAGAGTTACCACACAGGCTGGCGGTGAAAATTATTATTTCTCTGCTCTTTTTATACAGACGCATTGCGTCAGTTGTCCGACGAAAACAGTAATTTTCTGTATATTTATCATATATTGTTCGGATGACTCTGCGAGAAAATTGAGGTTTTAAGAATCCAATTGCTGGTTAATTAAATATCGACATCTTACATATGGCGTAGCTGTACGTGAATGTTACCACAGAGCGCGGCTTTTTTTTCTATTTCTAATCTACTCACTCTTGTAAAAATGTGAAGGTACCTCTACGCCTGATTGAAAACAACTGGGACTCTGCAACGACAGCTTGAAACGACTGACGGGTGTATAAAATAGGAGGCATTATGAAATGAGAAAGTTTTCACATTTAACCTGGAAAGCTTGCAAATGGTTGTCACGACAGCACTCATCTCATGAAAAAATAAAACACCTCCACCACGAGAGCCAAATAATGATAGAACATATATGCTTGTAGTTTTGCAAACGGTGACATCACTTGGTACATTGACTGACAGGCGAAATTAAGGATCAGTTACATTTTAAATGAGAAAGGTTTCCAATTTACGATAAGATTGGTTTATGACTGCGCTCATTTCACGAGAGAATGAAATGACCACTAGAGCAATAAAAATAATTGTTTTGATTGAAGACGTATGTTTCCAAACTTGTTCATAGGACATCGTTTAGGTTCTTGATCGATAGTTGAATAGCCAACTAAAATTATTTGACAAGAGGTGTATTCCTCATATAATATAAATATATCCACGAAGTGAACGATGTCTGGGCGAAGTTCGGGGGGATTATTTAGAAAACCGTGAATCCCTCGAGTGTCGCGCACTAGAACATGCAAATGAGAGGCAGCACATGTGTACAATATATTCGATGTTTTGTTGTTCGTTTATGGTACTGAGGTACAGGCTTCCTTGTCCCTTCAATGAGACGGCCTTATGATCAGTGAAAGGGAAAATCAAAGGTTCTTGGTTGGGATGTAAGCTAGCTGAGTTTCACAAAAACCAGGTTTATACACATCTGTCCTGTTGTTGGTAGTTCTTTGTAGTCGTATCAAAAGCATCTCAGATCATATCGCAATGACATATGCTGCGCATGACAGTCGTCGTTTATGATTTCGAGATTAGTCAAAAGCCTGCATCGTCTTGCCGATGTTCCATTGCCGCGCCAGCTTCGGGGGCGACAGTGCGTTCACGTTCGTTATCTTCTAAGGCAGATGAACGTACTTATTTTTCATCGTCATGAGCCACATCACAAAGTACAAATAATGTCTTACGAATGTCTAGCGACTACCTCGCTTATCAACAGAATAACGAATGGCATAGTGGGTGCGGCATCGCCATGGTCAAGACGTATAGTTAATGCCTCGCATGCGCTGTGCACTGATTGCAGGGTTGGTTGGCTGGTTGGTTCCTCAACACCTTGGCGCAACCCACCTAGGGGGATAGGCCATGAATGGGACGGTGCCTTGCTTTTCAAATTAATTCACTTCTTGAAAGAGAGGGTTGGATTACTTAGGTAATATAGGTAACAATAAAAAGGTGTTAAATTTCTAAAAAAAACCTTTAAAAGAAAACATATAAACATACAAAAAAATTATACAGAAAGCAACTGAAGTTACTTATTATTAGCATTCCATTCTTTTAGATTCTCGTAAGAAATTCGTAACAGCGGTAAAAGCGCTCCCGTGGCTGAATCCAAATGCGACTGCGCCAAATGAAAGAATCACCGGAAGTGTCAAGTTTAAGCCCAACTTTCGTAGGGGTTTTCTAGTAGATTTTTCCTTTGATTTTTGAATTTTCGGCATGACAAAAAGAAGTGCTCCAAAGATTCCCTCTCATTACAATAAAGGCACAAAGGCGACTGTGCCAGACCCGACCTGTGAAGGTAAAAGTTCAATGAGGAGACTCGACAACGCAGCCTGGTAATCACTATTTCTTCCTTTCTTGATGAACACCACTTGTTCTTCCAAGGGAACTTCAGCTGTGGGAAGTCTGATACAAACAAAGGGGATTTTTCAAAGTTAATGGCCGTTGTGCGTTTTTCAAAGCGTGCTGCTGTGATATATTCTGAAGTAGGCAAAATAGGTAAAACAGTACAATCAAGGGAAGATACAGCTAGTGCATCTGCATGCTCATTCAGAGCTAAACCTCTATGGCCTGGTACCCAAACTAGTCGGACGAGTCGCACATGTGTAGGAATGAGCGAGTAGAAAGTTTCTAAGGTACGCAAAAAATTTAGTGAGCTCAAGGCAGTACAGACTGAGAGACAGTCTGTTAGAACAATAACCGCTGATAGATCTTGCGGCACTTTACGCAATGCAAGGACTATTGCCAGTAGTTCAGCTTGGTAAATAGGTGTAATTCGGGTAATCGAATTGAAAAAGCCCAATCTAGAGAGGATGATACGATTCCTACGCCAGCCTTCTCTTCATAAACTGAAGCGTCAGGCGCTATCACAATAGATGTTTCTAGAATGGCCAAATGATCTTCTAAAATGCCAATTATATACTGATATGGTAAATTTTTTGCATTCTTGGGATATATATCGTCAAACTCTATCCTAATTGCATCTACAGTGTTGAGCACAAGTGTTTCCCAAAGGTTAACTCTTAAGGGCCCCAAAAGTTTCTGAGTAAATATTACTTGAGGACACCTTAATTTAGGCCATTGGTGGTTGAAGAATGAGGTCTGCTGGTTAATGAACACATACTGTGCCCTCCGCTGAGGTGATGCATAGATTTTAAAGAATGTACGTACTGTTAGATTATGAAATCTTTTGATAAAAGAAGGCAGGCGGAATTCTTCGTATAGGATATTGTTGGCAACATATTTGGGTAGCCCAGGCATAAGCGTAAAGATTCGCGTTCTAGCGGATTCAGTGGTCGAACCCAGCAAGCCGGAGCGCCAGAAAACAAAACACAGCCGAATTCTAATATCGGTCGAATTTGCATGCAATATATCATAACGAGCACGTCTCTACGCAAACCGGCACGATAATTACTGAGTCTGGGCAGCATCCCTACGGCACGTGCTTCTTTAGCAGCCATGTTTTTTTATGTGGGGACTCCAATTAAGTGTTTCGGTGTAGGTTACCCCCAAGTACGTAACTGACTCGACCTGAGGTATGGCGTCCTGTCGGTACATTAGTGAAATTCGCACTGAGGCATTTTGTGCGAAAACTATGATTGTACTTTTGTTTGTATTGAGGCATAGGTTGATGTCCTCCAGCCACGTTTCCAGACTATTCATGTATGTCTGCAGTATCAGGTACAGTGTGTGAATGTCCGCCGACGCAGCAAAAAATGCAATATCATCGGAATACACATAGACCTGTACATCTTGCTGTATGGGAATAGTACATAGTAGTGCATTAAATAATAAGGGCGATAGTACTGACCCTTGCGGTATACCTCGCGTTTGCCTGTATATTGAAGAGTTGACACCAGCTTGCGAGCAGTAAAATTCTCTATCACCGAAGAAAGCATGGATCCAGGCCACAAAGTATTGAGGCAGTCCTAAATTCTGAAGTGAATATAGCAGTTTAACATGCTCCATGCTATCATAGGCTTTTGTGATATCTAAGGTTACCAAAGCGGAGTATTGTTTCTGATATCGAGCAAGTTTAATTCTGCTTTCGAGATTCACGTGCGCACAACAAATGGAGCAACCACGCCTGAATCCAATCTGACATAGGCTCTGTGTCAGGTTTTCTGACATCCATCGATCTATACGTCTATATAAAATTCTTTCAACAAGTTTAACAAGGTTCGATGTAAGTGAAATGGGCCTGATATTATCTAAGGTAAACCCAGCGGCTTGTTTTATTTATTAATGGAATCACTTTTGTCATTCTCCAATCTGGTGGCATCCAAGAGCTTCTAAGTGAGTGTATAATAATTTCGAGTAGGCCAAGTGGGTATATTTTATGTACTGATTTTATTACCGATGTCGTCATGCCATCAGGACCAGGAGCCGAATGGGGTAGTGTTCTGACTACGTTTTCTAATTCTGCAGGCGTAACCTCTTCACAATCCTCAGCCCTTTGGGAAGACTGAGCTTGGTATGAGACAAGTGTCGTAAAGCGACTTTCTAGGCCCTAAGCTATATCTTCTAGAAGGGCCTTCAGTTCAACTGGTGATGATACTGCATATTCTATATTTCTTTGTACTGGAAGAACTTTCTTAGTTCTCAGAAAGCGAAAAAGTGCTTTTCTATAGACCGGCTTTGACAGGAACTCACATCGGTCGTTGTTAAATTTTTCCTTCGCATTAGCGATGGTTCTCTTAAAAATAGCGGCTGCATACTAATAATCACTCCAGTTCCTGAGACACTGGTTGGAGATTAATTTTTTCCATGCAGCCTTTCTTAGTCTATAAGCCCGCGAACAGTGCGCATTCCACCAAGGGTTCGTAGACGGTTTAGAGCTTTCAATGGTGAATTTTGATTTATTTAACGACTCTTTTGAAATGTCGCTAATTCTGATGGTGTCTAATTCTGCATCATTAGTTTAGTTAGATAAAGCGCCTCGTAAGTATTTCTCGAAAGTATTAAAGTTTACATGTGTTATGGAAGATCTATTTTTGGAGGTTGTTGGACATACCCCCTCGAACAATATTGGCATATGGTCACTACTTGTTCCCGAGTTAATCGCAGACCATGATAAGATGGAGAGGTTAGCGTTAGAAAAAGTTAGATCGAGTACCGAGGAGGACTGATTACACATAAAAGTAGGAGTTTTTGTGTTTATGCATATAAAGTTATTATTGTTCACCCAATCCCATAAATGTTTGCCATTCAGATCAGTTTTAAAACTTCCAGAAATATGATGAGAAGTGAAGTCACCTACAAATACAATATCTTTTTGGCAATAGTGAACTGCAGTATCTAGGACGGAAGAATTTAGAACACCCGCAGGAAAATAAGCATTAATTAATGAGAATGGGAGGGACCCAGGAATAGCAATGCTTATTGCTAAAATCTCGCTTTTTGAAGCCAATGACTGATAAATAATTTTAG